ACCGACCCTCATCTGAAACTAATAGATGAGACCTCCTAACAGCTTAATGAGAGTTTAATATTTAAATAATTAATTGAACCATTGGTATATGCACACAAAGATACTCCACAAAAGGAAAAGTTTCTAGTTAGGAAAGAACCTTGTATAGTAATATACCACGGAATATATGTACAAATCTATATAGAATTCTGGAGCTAATAAGGGTATGGGAGAGAACAGGAACCTAATCAGGATTAAATGTGATTGATGACTGTCAGTTGTTGTGCTTGTGTGACAAGCTGAACCAAAAGGTAGCTAGCTTCATTTCAGTCCAGTATGCTGACCAAATCCTGCAATGTGACTTGTTCTGTATTTTATGCAGAAAATTGGGTTAACAGAGAATATCACGGTGACTAATTGCTGTAGTCAACGTGAAGGGATATGATCCAGTTTCTTCACAAGGTTATCTGTCGCTTCAGGTTGTGGCCAAGCAGATAAAGCTGCTATCTGAGCGCCCTTGGCATTCTTTTTTTTTTTTTTTTGGTGCTTGTGTGGGGGGGTTAGTGATGGCGGCGGCCAGCTGCACTGCGTTGATAATCGCTGAACCTCGACCCATTTTCATGGGTTTCCAATTCCGCTTTCACCAACTTCTCCGTTTTTTAATCGCCTCCAAGGCAAGAGAGTCGGATTCCGCACGGTCTTTCCCGCCGGCAATTTCGAAGGTTTGCCCGCTTCGCACTTTATCTCGCTTCCGTTTTTGTTTTTTTTCAAGATAGGAAAGTCTGCAATGCAGGAGGGGTGCATCGCATTGGCTTCGGCGCCGCGTCTAGCATTTTAGGAAGAAAACAGACCCTGCCGCCGTGCAGCTTTTTTCTTTCTTTTTTTCTCCCCACCCCACCTTCTCCCCGCAAATTGATTTCTTCAACGCTTGAGAAGCCCAAGCAGTTAGGAGCAAGATATGTTTTGCATGCTGCCGGCCGGGCGAAATTGCACATGCTTCCTGCTCGGGCAAAGATGTTTTACACCCGGCGATAAACGGTCTTAACTCTCTCCTGCCCCTCTCTGGGACTCTTTCCGACGGCACTCGGGAGAACCGAGGACGTGCTGCAGCTCTCAGCCTTTTGGTTTTTTTCCCCTTCAGGCCGGCCTGAGAGATTTCGCCCACCAGCCTTTGCCGAGAGCGAGTCTTCCTAGGCCGGAGAAAGACTCATTCTCGCGTTACGCTTAATAGAGTCGTTCGCTACCACCACCAACTCCCGCCCCACCTCCCAGCTCGTCTTTTGCAAGGTTTTCGGCATTGGTCGCTCCCGCTGACGGTGGGTAGTTTGCAGACGCTCCCTTAGTTCCGGCGAGGCTGTTTTGTTGGGGGTTTTCCGCCCCTACACTCCCGGGCGGCCGAGGCGGTTGGCAGACGTTTCCCTGCTCGGCCCGGGGCTGCCTCGCGCCGCAGTCGGAAGAGGGAAGGGAACGCCGCTCCCGGCTGGCTTTCCGCCGCGGAGGCAGCTTGCCTGAGCTCGGACCCTCAAAGCGCCGCTCCCGCGTTGCTCCATGTCCGGCCTCCCCGCTACTTCGGCGGGGAGGCCAACCCCCGGCCCCCGCTTAGCGAGAGAAAGAGAACGCAAGATGGACGAGGAAAGGGGGGGAAGGGAGGGGGGGATAGGTGGGGAGTCCGCCTCGCCGCGGCGACGCCAGGAAAGCTGGTAAGAAGCTTTTGCTCCCCCCACCCACACACACGTCCGCCCTGTTTTCCGAAAAGGACCAAGCAGCATCCAAGAGCTCCGGCAAGAAGAGGAGGAGCCTTTCCCGCCGCCGCCGGAGCTCGCGCCGTGTGAGGGCCCCGCGGTCTACCCCGGTGTTGCTTGGCGCCTGTGGGGAGGGAGCTGCTGACTCCTCCCTTCTTCCCTCCCTCCCGGTTCTCGTGCCGCCGCTGCCGCTGCTCCCCCCACCCCTCCGGTAGTGCGGTCTGCTGGCGTGCTGAGTCGGTCGGTCGCAATGGAAAACCCAGCAGTTTCCTTTTCCTCGCCCGCGTTGACGAGCGAGCGCCTCTCCCGTTGGAAAAGCCCTGGAATAGGTAGGTTTACTCCTTTCGCTCGCCCGCGTGCATGCCTGCCTGCATTTGCCTGCCGGGTGGGGAGCGGCGTTGTCTTCTTCCTTCTTTTCTTCCTTCGTTCCTTTCTTTCTTTCCTTCTCCGTTTACCTCGCTTTTCTCGGAGAAGCGGGCAGACGACCCGCTTTGTCCCTTTTTGGCTTTTTGCGGGACACTTTGGCAAAGTCGTCTCGCCCCTTGGTTTTTTTGGCGGGACCGCTGGAGGCGAGGCGCTGTGGCGGCTTCTCTCCTCGCTCGCCCGACCCTTTCGTCACCTGCTGCTTTTGGTCTTTCTCCTCCTTTGAGCAAAGAGAGGACCTCGGTGCCTGGGATAATTCATTCTATCGGATGGTGTGGTTGAGGCAAGGCTGATTTTTTTTTCCCCCTTTGCACAAAAGTGTTTTCCTTTCCTCCTCCTTCCCTTGGCCATATAGATACAGAGCAGGTTGCCACACCTGCTTCCTCCCCCTTCCCTTCCCCTCATTTTTCTCGATTTTTTTTTTAAAGGTTGGCGGTGCTTCTTCCCCGCTTTGGAGAGGTGGCTGATCCTCCGTGCTAATAATCACCGTTTGCTGTCGGGTCTCCTTTGCTTGCCTTGTTTAAGACTTAAGAGGATACAGGATCCAAGGTGACAGTCTTGCAGGTTGCGTCTCAGTTGTTGAATGGATCAGGAGGCGCCTCTGTGCCTATTGCTTGCAGACGGGCGACCTTTAGTGTCATGTTAGTGCTATTTTTCTTCCAGTCTGTATTGTTGCAGACAGCTGTTATTTATCCCTTCTGAAAGGAAAGGAGCTTTTCTCACCCCCTCCCTATCCCATTAGCAGTGACCCCCCCCATCCCCATTTTTAGAGGATAAAAGCACTCTTTTAAGGGGCTAGAAATGCTGAGGAATAGAAATGTTTGGGAGTAAAGAGAAGCAACAAAAGCAACAAAACCACTTGTTGGCCTTCCTTTTATATATACCCCATTTTTCTTTGGCCTTGTTCTGTGCTCCTTCACCAAGGTAGTTCAGGTCATACAGTATTTTCCCTCCCCGGAACTAATGGTAGGCTATTGAGTTTGGGGGCTAAAGTATTAGCATTGAAAATGTGAGCAAAAATGTTATAACTGGTGTTCGTGCTTTGAGGACCTCTGTTGACTGATCAGTGTAGTCTCGTGGCTTATATTTTTTGTGGGGAGTAGCATATTAGGAAAATGCAGCAATACAGCAATGTTGACATGTCAATGTTGCATTTTCATTTCATGATCTTTCAATCAATCTTTATTATGGTCAGTACAGACCAGCAAATAAAAGCATTAAAGGATAATAAAAAATAAAAATAAAAGACATAATATATTGCAGTTGGTTGTGGATTAACTGGTCAATTAAAGTTTGACTAATTTTATATACAGCACAGCAGAATTTCACCACCTTCAAAGAAACTACTTCATACTGATCTGATAATAACAGTAGTTGCATATAAAAAAGATCAGTGTTTCCTGGATATTTTACCAGGTAAAGTGTTATAAATTAAATCCATGAGTCCATATACAAGATGCAGTATAGCAGGACGTGAACTATAGTTTCATGTTATTATTTAGCTTGTCAGGCTTGATAATAATGCGGCTGGTATCATACCAAAGAGTTTTCATGATATAGTTAATATTTATGCTAAAAATAGGGAGAATAGAATCTGAAATCTTTTGATTAAAATTCCCTGGCCTGGTCTAGAATGCTGCCATTTTTTGCATTATTAATACAAATAATACATTTGTATTGAATTGAAAAAAAGATCTAATCTGCGGAGAAATCAGATCTCATTTAGCAAAAATGGCAGTAAAACAAAGTAGGAAGGGCAAATGTACTTACAATAATCACCTATAATGATGCTATTATCGTGTGCAAAGATTGCCAAAGAAGGTTTATTGTGGTTGTGTAAGAAATGATCTACAGCAGGTGCCTGCGCTCTGAGTGAAGAGGAATTTGTCTATATAAACTATATATGTGTGTGTGTGTGTGTGTGTATGTATGTGTATGTATGTATATATAATATATGGCATTCAGCTTTGTTCGGGTATTTTCCCACATCATTGTAGTTATGCTTTTAAAGTTGTAGCAACGTTTCAGCAGAATCTCATCTGCCATCATCAGGCTTCTGTATAGTGTTCATCTGTGATGATTTATTGACTAACAGAAGCACTTTTTTGTGGTTCTGGTGCAGCTGACCACATGGAATTGAGAGTGGGGGGTATTTATACCTTCTCTCCCCTTTTTTAGTATTTCCTAAAGTATTTCATTCTTCTGAGAGAGGGGTAGGTGCTAACTTTCTACACATAATTTGTTACTTAGGACAAACTGTACAGATCCAAAGGAGTATTTGGGAATTTGAAACCATTGGTCTTCTCTTCTGAAGTAGAAGAATAAAACCTCTTTAACTATGGAGAAAAGCTTTGTACATTTCTTCTCTGATTTTTCTTCCTACTTTGGGGAAGTTCAATAATTAACAAGCGGTGAGAAGCAGCCTTCCTTGCTGGTTAATTTCCAAGCATGCTGAGTCTATAGTTACAGCCTCCTTAAGCCTTGCTCTACTCTGGCTATGATTTACATAGACTTCATTTAAAACTTCCAGTAGAAGTACTTGATTTCATTTTGGTATGACTCTTACATTTGCTGGTCTACAGCACTTACTACATCAATTTTAAGTAATGTAATTATAAATATAGTAATTTGATTGCTGTGAATCTTTAATGGTACACTAAGCAGTAGAAACCATGGCTTGATGTATAATATGAATAGGATCAGACAAGATATTCTTAGTAATTGGCTCTTAAAAATGCTATTGTTATTTGTCCTGCTGTGATTTTCAGGGAAGCCTTCAGCTTTACATATAGTAACAACTGGTTTATATAATAGACACTTCTGGTATATTAGTAACATATTCAGCAATACTGAAACTTTCCATTTCTGTATTGCTTAGTAATTTGTGTGTATGAAATGTAACTACATAATTGACCAAATATAGTTGATAGCTAGACAGGGAAATTGGGTTGTGATAGCACAGTGATGAAGAATTAACAAGTGATCAAGCCTTTACTTAATTTCCTCATTTGTTTCCTGAGAAGAGAGGCCATTAAAAATTGCTGTGAGAAAAATAGCTTCACGGATTTTAGACTTCATTTTTTGCCTTTCCCGTTTTTGTCAAGTTTAATTTTTTTAAATATACAATTCAAGAAATCACTGCTCTTATAATGACTAATTTGAGGTGTGTGCAAACAGTAGGAAAATGTTGTATCTCCTCATGAGGTTAACAGTGATGGTAAATATACATTTGACATAGTTTCATGTAATTTTCTCTGATTATCATAGATGGTTTGCCAGTTAAGGTAATTTCACTACCATATGTCAAGTAATAGGTAAGCAGAAAGGGAATATTCTTTTCTCTCTTTCAGTCATATCTCTGGCTTGTTATTATTAAATCTGTCTAATTTCTTTTAACTTCTGCTTCCTATCTATAAAAAAGGCCAGTGTTTTGATAGCTTGCAAATAAATTTGCAGATTATTTCAATGACTATAGTTGGCCCATTAAAGAGTACATTAATTTAGAATTTTATGCTATTTTAGTAGCGTGATATTTTGCTTGTATTTTGGAGAAATAAGCTGGTCAAAATGCTTATCTGTTGCTATATGGTAATGGTAGCCTTTTGTAATATAGACATTAGATTTCAAATTTCTGAATTCTCACCAATGTCCATGCTGACTGGGAGATTCTGGGACTTGAATTTCAATGTCAAGGTCTGGAAAAGCTCTGTTTTGATTAGACCCAGGTTCATCTTATTTGTCATTCAGCTGTTAATTATATAGGCCAGATATTTCCAAATTACACTATTTGGAACAGTCTGGATATTCCTTATTACTTTGAAGCCTATTTACTCAGAAAAAAATCCCCCATAGAGATGTTATGCCACAGTATTGTTGAAAGAGAAATCGTTACTTATTTTACTCAGCCTATCTAAAATTAGCAGTGTACATTGAACTGTATAATATCTGAAGTAGCCTTTTGAAGATACTGTATTACAACACTGTTTCTACTGTCTAAGAATGGTACAGATTTCTGTATCTGGGGCATATGGTTTCCAAAATTAAAACAAGCAATATGTCATTATAAAGTCCAGACAGACTGAGAGCTGACATGGAATAAAGCTGGGTTTCTCTGAAGCTGACTGAGAAGGAAGAACAAATTTATCAATTCATTGCCTTTTATCCAGTGCTCTGTGTTTGTGTTGTATTTGTTTAATTAAATTTTATTTATTTGTTTATTCAATTTCTATGGCCGCCCAACTCAACCAAGTGACTCTGGGTGGCTTACAGTTCTAAAAATATAAAACTATGAAAACATTAAAATAAACCATCCACAAAACAAATAAAAAAAGCAGCTGTGATAATCAATCAACTAATAGTAAAGCCAAGTAACTGGGCCTTTTACATGTTCCAAGTCTAAGGTCCCAATACAGAGCCACGTTTTTAAAGCTTTACAAAAAGCCAACAGGGTTGGGGTATTCTAATCTCTGAGGGGAGAATATTCCACAAGGCAGGGGATACATGTAAATATATAGTTATTATATTTTTTAACCTACAGAATTACTCTGGGAATGTCACAGTATCATGAACCAGAGAAATTAGCACTGCTAATAAGATGTCTATTTATATGCAGAGCCTATAATATCCTCATAGTTAAAGTTAAGAGTACGTTTAACATTTTAAATTTGAAGCTAATTGTTAACTGGTTGTTTTTCTGTTATCTTTGTCCTCAGTTTGTGGCAAGTGTTTAGTTGACTTCATTATTGGCAACTCTAGGGAAAGACTAAAAAGTTGATATAAACTTCCTATCTATATGATCAGTAATAGTTATTTTATTATTCTAAAGCAGTTTTTGTAAACTGGAAATCTCCAGATAACCTCATCTCTGATATTGACTGCCAGTTTTCCTACAATATAAATGATAACAAAGAGAAACATGATCCCAATTCATTTAGTGGCATTCCTGTTGCTTTAACATGAAGAGAGTATTAACTGACTAAGGTTTCATGCACAAATGCCAGTTATGGTGCCAAAAGAGACATTTTTTGGCATTAAATTCCAGGTGGGTGTTTTGTCTTGGAGGATTCCCTTAAGAAATCAAAAACTGAAACAGCATTTAGGAATGGCAAAACAGTTGTCTCAATATGCATATGAGTCTACCATGGAACTTTTACACATTTGTTTAGGTGTGTTCATTAACAGGAGAATCAAATGACAATGAGCTGTTCTTTCTGTATGCTCTCCTTCCTCAAGATTTGATTTTATCCTTGTGGGTGCTTGTAAATACATCAGCCATGGAATATTTGAACCTTCAGTAAGTAGTGTTTTTAGTGTATTTGTAGAATCTAAGTAAATTATACCTGCATATGTAATTATATTTTTTCTTGCTATAATTATCTTTGACATGAAAAACATTTGAAGGAGAAACTGGAGGTAAATTGATAGGCTTACTATTTCCTTTGCAGAATTTCATACTTTTACAAAAAGTTGTGTAATAATATGTCCTCTTAAGTTTTTTTTCCCCTCCTGTGTAACTCTTTTAACATAAGTACCTATGAAGTACATTGGCT